AAGTAGTAGTATTTATGTGAGCCAGTCCACCTAACACACTGGACAGCAACAAAATAGAAATACGGGGAACCCATTCATCGAGGGAGAGATGAGGCCGTTCGTTGAAGGGGAGTGTGCTCATCGAGGGAGGGAGGAGGCTGTTCGTTGAGGGAGGGAGGAGGCCATTCGTCGAAGGAGGAGAGCGTTCATCGAGGGGGAGGCCGTTTGTCAAGAAAGGGCCGTTTGTCAAGAAAGGGCCGTTTGTCAAGAAAGGGCCGTTTGTCAAGAAAGGGCCGTTTGTCAAGAAAGGGCCATTTGTCAAGAAAGGGCCGTTTGTCAAGGTAGGAGGCCATTTGTCGAGAAATGAGAAGTTTTGCCATTTGTCGACGGCAGGGCGCCATTTTTTGAGGGAGGGAGAGGGCTGTTCGTTGAGTTCGTCGAAAGGGGGCCGTTCACCATTTGTCGAGGAAGAGAGGGGACCGTTCGTTGAAAGATGAGGCCGTTCGGCATTTGTCGAGGGGGGAAGGGGGGTTAGTCCATCGAAAGGGGAGGCCGTTCGCCCATTCGCCTTTTGTCGAGGGTGCCGTTCGTCAAGGGTGGCCATTCGCCATTTGTCAAGGGAGGGGGCATTCTTCGAGGGAGGAGGCCGTTCGCCACTTGTCGAGGGAGGGAGGGAGAGAGGGGGGGCCATTTATCGATGGGAGGAGGCCGTTTGTCGATGGGAGGCGGTGAGGGGAGGCCACATCCAGCCTCGACTCTCTGGTGGGAGCTTTAGGTTTGGGCTGTATTACCCACTTGGACTCCTTGTACGCTGAGGGACACGTCAGCACCTGTTCAATGTCAACAGGACATTCACTCACCTATGGCCTTCCTGTGCTACAGCGGGCATCGTACTTAGCACGGGAGTTGCGATAGGTTGGCCAAAACAGGCGAAGAGACGTCAGCGCCATCATAGGCAATGGCTGAGCCGACACCTGAACTAACCGTCGTAACCGTCTGTGGTTGATACAGATCCTTGCACAACTGCGTCGAGCGGGCAGTGCCCACAGGTGTTTAAGAGGGCCGTGACCGCGTTTGCAGAGGTAGGTGTCGTGCGAACTCTGGAGAGGCGGACTGGCGGATCGGCGGCAGTTCGGACTCTCGGAATACGGAACCTTCTGGACAATCGTAACGATTCATTTCAATTCGCAACCACATGTACATCTAGCACCCAAATACAAGTCGATGATAACAACAAATTGTGCATTCGTCCTACTGCAGCGAATTATCGGCATGGTAAAATTGTGCTCTCCCAAAACAATCCCAAAACCGAAACAATTTGCGGGAAGGCTGTAGATGTGTCAAAGGCCCATGCAAATCCATTCAGTCAATGCTTCCGAACGTCACACCTGTGCTGGCCCAACGCGTACGAGAGGTGCAGTGTGTGAGCAGCACAACGCAGCTTTGTTGTACTAGCTGCATGTACCGCCTGAGTGGCGTTGTCTAGAATGATCATTGCTTCCCGGAATTTAGGTAGAAGCCTGTCTCTGTACCACAGCCAACTGAACATACGACAATTGTCTGAGCTAAAGTTCACCCACCTCGAAGCTGATGAGATGGTCTCTCCCAAAAGCAGATCTTGGATGCACTCCTTTAGCGGTGATCGCAATTGCGGCGATCGAGCAAGGCCCTTCAAAGTGTTACATTCAACATTCAAGTGCTGTTCGTTATCATGCAAGCCGTACCTGCCCCAAAGATAAGTGGTCGTTGACCACCATTGCAACAACCGCCACTGCAACATAATCTTTCAGCCCGTAGCACGGAGCGGACAAAAGTTTGATAAGTATTTCGCAGGTTGAGCGGAAAAAAGTCCCAAAGAAGGAGTCTGGTGCAGCGTCCATAAGGGCGGTGAAAGCTTCCAGAGCTGCCAGCTTTTCAACGGTGTCTTGGGAGCAACAATCTGTAGATAGGTGCATTTAGCCAGCAGACGAAGTGGGAACGTTCATCGTGACCGGCTCACCGTGAGATTGTCCCAGTGGAACATGCTTGAGAATTTGTAGTGTGAGCAGGCCAATGGAAAAAATCTCGTTGTCCGAAAGCTCTCCAATGTATGATCGAACAATGCCCATAGCGAACAAGCAGCGTACTTTGTAAGTCCCATCGGTAGCTTTAGCGCCCGCAACGGCGGCGGGTAAAACGAGTGAAACAAAAGGTCGAAATTGGTTGAGCGACGAGGATTTCGATATGCAGATTACGGCTGCCATCGCTGCCGATCGACTCTCGAGTGAGGTCGCAGTCAAAAAGGAGTTCACAATTTTCATGACATCAGGCAGGTAAGGATCAAAGGCTCCTTCAACAGCAGAGGCGACTATCCCCAAACTTTCGACCGCTGGCAAGACATGAGTCGGTTTATACCGTTGATTGGTGATGAGCTTCTGGAGTGCCGTCATAATGTTCGGCAGATTCTGTTTAATTGTATCCGCAGCACTGTACATCTCTAGAACGGCTTTGAGCGCTCGGCCACCAACGAGGTCGAAAGGAATGCCGGAACCTATGAAACGGGGATCAGTAGGACATGTTATCCACGACTGCAGGAGCTATAGGATATTGGCGATGTGGCATCAACGTGGGCTGAAATCTCGTGAACAATCTAATTTACCGTCAAGAAGAACGCCAAGTGATTCTGGCATTTTTGCATGATGCGGGGGTTTTGTCTCCAGTGAAGAGCAAGCGTTGGAAGTATGTGCAAGACGAGGGGGCAAGGATCCAGTGCAAGAGCTTCGATCCTTGACCACAGAGGGCGGCTGAGTATTGAATCATCGAGGATAAATGATGCTGAAACGGTGCCGACGAGCGAGAGGGCTGCGAAACGGTTGACAGGGTTCAATGATACGATATTCTTTTTGAAATAAGTCCATATTTCAGCCTTTAAGTCGGAAGGCGGCATGGTCTCCGCCAAAACCAGGATGACATCAAGGGCTTCCTGTTGTAAAGATAAATCAGGAAACAACAGCTATTGTTGGCAGGCGGGGTAATCACAGTAACAGGGGCTTTATCATAAAAAGAAGGAATCGAGTCTGCTTGTCGCATGGAAAATAAATTTACAGTAATGGCTTCCATGACGTTGCAAACGATGAGGGGCATAAGTGCCTGCTCCTTTACCAGATCCGCATGGCTGCCCGAATGTGGATTAGAAAAATGATTCTTGTGATGGGGTATTACGGGTTGTTCGCACCATTCCACAAGAAGACCAACCCTCACGAGTACAGCGGCGCGTTCCTCTTTCTTTAAAGACCTATCACAGGCTGCCCGGAGATAGCTGACTAATTTGTCAATCACGACCGCTGGAGGAAGCTAAATCTAGAGGATAAGTAATTGCTTGCGACGATAAACAAAGGAGATGCCTACGCCGCTGAACAGCGGTGACAAAGGCGAAAGATTGCGCCACTGAGGAACAAGAACAGAGACCGGCGTTTCGTTGAAGAACTTAACTAAACCAAACATAATTGGAGGTGACTGGAAGTAGATGGGATAGTTGAGTGGATGTGGCTTGGAGTAAGAACTAGAGGTGAAAGAGATATCGAGAAAGGCAATCGGAAAGTGCCTTGAAATTGTGAGCACGAGTTCAGCGGAGTACGATTCACGGCAATTAAATAGGAAATCGCCGAAGATATGACCGAAATGTTGCAAGAGTATAGCCAAGCTCCAGCATTTGTCGATTCAGTAAGGCAGGGACTCAAAAAGCAAAAGACGTACTGGCATTATAGGCTATCCAAGCCAAATGGCGGTTAATCGACGCGGACTTACCAGGGTGAGAGATGAGAGAGAGACACGAGATTGTCTTAAAAACATCAATCGCAACCAACTACGCGCTAGAAGGGTAGCCCCTGGAGAATGGCATCGTTGCTCAAGCGCTACACAACGATTCCACATGCAGGCCGCCCATTCCACCGGCATTATCACAGGAGAGTACAGCAGACAGAAGTCGCCTGTTTGGGAGAAAACTGCGTGCAAATTGCACGGGTACATCCTCCAGCGCGGAGGTCGCCGACATCGCCTGGACAGTGCGCTTGAAAGCATCACAGAACAAGTATCAACGCTAGAACGAAAAGTGCGCTACGCGGGTCGGCCGCCGCGATGATCCTCTAGCACTAGACAACAATGTCTGCGGTACGGAAGCTTACGCAGCGTGTCAGATAATCTAGCTCGGATGCCGAGAAAGGACACACCTACTAGCGAGGCTTGATCTGGCTTGATTTATCAGAGAAACGGTGAGTCGTTGAGGTAGTCGATGGTCACGTGAGACATTACATGTCACTTCTGTCACAGTGTCACTTTCAGTGTGGTTGGACCTGGACTGCACGAGTTGCCAAGAATGCGTCGACCTGGCGAACCCTGACGCTGACAAGGGTTACTTCTGCTACTTATTCGAGGACTAAGTATATCAGGACTAGAGCCAACTCGCTGAGAATCAATACGCGCCTCATGCTGCTTCCCTGCTTGCAAGTGGAGTCCTACCCTCGTATAAAAGCCAGAATCGTGTCTCCGCGGTATCTTTGTCCCCCGGGCTCTCCGTATAAAGCATCCCAGCAAACGGCCATCCTGACACGACTGCCAATGCCTCTGCAATATCTACCACCAGAACTCCTGGCCAACATTTGTCAGCATGCTTCTCTCACGGACCCTGCCGCACTCTCCAGGACAAGCTCACTTTTTTATGTAGTCACCCAACCTCTGTTCTACAGACACGTGTCTGTTAATTTGACGTCCAAAAATTTGGGCATTGTTGTCACCCTGGCAAAGAAGCCCCACATTGCACGTCATGTCCAGACATTTGCCATTCGCCTTGACCCGCACACCGCCGTGCTTCACTCTTACTATTGCCGCCTCAGCGAGGCTTTGTCAAACATGTCCGAACTGACGTCTTTGAACATTTTCGTCAAGTCCGCAGCAAGTTGGGTGCTTCACACGCGACTCGACGCCGAATTCCCTCGATTGCGGCATTTCGCATCTTCCTTTCCCCTCGACTCCTATGTTGCTCATTTTCTCTCCAAGGCTGAGGCTATCCTCCAGCTCGAAGTCGATTCTTCTCCCACATCCCAGCTCATAGCTCCGTCGAGTCTCATTGTCACAGCTGCTCCTCGTTTGTCTCGTTTCATTGGGTCTTCCAAAGCTGCTCAGGCAGTTATTCCGGGCCGTCCAGTGGATGAAATTCATCTGAGTTCAGGTGATCTGACAGAAGTTCTCGTGCAGGGCCTTTCCAAATCCACCGCATATGTGCTTCTTTTGGGTGCCTCAACGAGTTCCCTTCCTCCTCCCTTGCTTGAATCACTTGCCGAATTTATGCCCCAGCTCAAGTACCTCAGAATGATGACGACCTATAATCTCTCGGATGTTCTTGATCCCGTACGTCCCTTAATGATATCTTTCAAGCTCCCATCTATAAATCCGACATCTCACAGACTCTTTATCAAGACACCGCAAAGGCATTGGCCTTACTCCCTACCCTTCATTCTTTTGAGCTTTCTGGAATGCATTGGGGCTCATCATGCAAAGGCCTTAACGGTGAGGGAAGGATGTGGCAACCGCAATTGTTTGGCGTCGCAACCCGTACTCTGGATGTCAGCCCCTTTGACGTCTATTTCGCATACTGATCAGCAGGTGCATTGTGGGCGGCGCCTCTGCTTCAACTGTTTCATCAGCCTTCCGCCCGGTCAGTACATTGCCTCGGTTAGGCTCTTGAGGAACCTCAAGTCATAAGCAGTCCTGACTATGGTCGCGCACAGGGCTATTCCAAACCTCCCCAGTCGTCATGTCGTATGTGAGAGCACCAGCAATAGATTGCTTCTCGCGGCAATGGCTACTGAGCACGGAGGGTTAGATCCTCAGGCACGAATTGCGGGCAAAGTCCAAGAAGTTCTACGACTTGGAAACCCGCGGGTGAACGATCCTCGTTTACTCCGGTTGTCTGCGCGTGGATTCCGTGCTTTGCATTCCTCTGCTTGAATCACCTTTTATCGGCTCTGTTCTTCCCCGTTTGTAATTGACAACACGCGGCTTCTCACAACTCACAAACACGCTCCAACATCTCAACTAAGGGAGACCCATCGCTGGCGAGTATCGTATTTGCAGCCACTGCCCCACGAACTAAACGCATATGAACTAGGGTTCAATAAGCGATTACGTCCCCCGACCTATCCACTTGATGAAGAGGCTCTTCATCAAGTTCTCAGACGCGGTCCAACGACTGTCACGCACGCTCTTTACGTTTTATGATAGTAGCTCAAGCGTCGTTCATGATGGGCCAGCGAACCCATTTGATGTGTGGCAACTTCGGGGAGCAAATGCAAATCTACTTCCTTCCTCCCGCACCTGTCTGCCATATGAGAGCAGCTTGCTATGTGTCGACTTGAACTTCATTTTCTTTGACTTTCGAAAGGTAGTCCGCTCAGAAAACGGCGCCTCCAAGATCCACAGCTATGACTGCAGACAAAGTTCAAGAACTCTTCCCAATACAATGTTCAATGACTTCGAAACTCGCCGGGGTACGATTCCCGCTCAATCCGGCATGATTGATATACCTTATCCAGAACAGCAACAGGCAATATAAGTTACAGTCATTGTTGATGGTGTTCAAATAGGTAGAATTATCCAAATCTGGCAAGGTACACCTACTCCAAACGTTCGTTAGACATCTTCTTCCCTAAGTAACTCCAGTATTGCTCGACGAAGTATCTGTTTGGAGAAAACGCCAATCTGCCCTATCAACCGCCTCAAGAGAAATGCAAATTTCTTGGAACAGTTCACAACAAACTCAAAAACAAACAGTGTAGCCCCCGTGACACCGTCTCGAAGGACTACATACTGATGAACACCAGAGTAAGTTTTTGCAAAAAGATGTAGAGTATTCGCTTACTGGGATGAAAATTGAGCCCAAGCAAATATGTAAAAAGAGGAGAATTATCCCGGACAAGAAAGTAATCAACAGTGTCCTGTGTCGATGCACCAAATCCTGAAGGAGCCTTGATCGCACGATTAGTTTCAATGATGAAAGCACCACTGACCTTCCAGCCAGTGCCAGCTCGCGACCCTGCATCTACTTGAGAAGTTTCTATCAAAGTTATCATCAAGGGAATGAGAGAATGGACTACCTGTCGCTGAATGCCACACTTGTATATGATTATCGGTCCCCGTCGTCATGGTGGCAGTTGCAATGAACATGCAATCCGGGAGTTGACGGGCCTTGAGACCTGTTATGATCTCCCAGATTCAGGAAAAACCAGCACTCACACTGATTGCTTGTACAGGAACACCTAAGAACAAATGAGTTCGGCAAGGACTTCCACAGCGTTAAGTTAACCTTGATGTTCCAGTGATTGCAGCTGGATACCAGTTGCAGTATTCCAGACGACAACATTGCCCGACTGCGACCCACACACTACAGCTGTTCCATTGTGCAAAAAAGCCACGCCTAAGGGAACATCATAAGTCTCCTGACGTGCGGGAGAGCGATAGGATTGTATGGGAATGTTATCCCCAAGGTTGTACAAGTCCAGGCCATTTTGAAGATTAAACACAAGTAGATTGCGATGATCCGGAGAGAGTGATGATGTGCCGCTAAAAAAACTCAATTTAAATCATGCACATTAGATCGGAAGATAAATTGGCGCACATTTGGCAAGGAATCTGATCGTGTTTGGTTTTCATCGACCACAACAACGTTCTCGTCGTGACGTCCCAACACCTGGCACTGGCTCAGTCCGAGTAAACGTTGAAGAGGGACGTTTGCTTACACTACACCATTATTAAGGTAAGACACAATTAATTGCTCCCCGTTGGCGATGAGGTGGACAGCTCGCGGCCGTATGCGATGATCAGAATCCGTGTTCTGTTGCAGGGGTTCGATCCTGGGAGGAGCAGGCATAATACTAAACGTAGCGTATGTCCCTGGAATATCTCAGGCTGATGTAACTCATGCAGAAGTGATTTCACGTACGCTTTGTGACCTTCTTCACGACCTGGACCTCAGAGCCGACGCCGACAGCCAGATGACCAGTTGTGGCGTCTACGTCGAGTGCGTAAACAGAGGCATTGACACCTATGAGAACTTCGCGCTGCGCATCCGTATCGCGGTGCTGCATGACATACATTCATGATCATAATTCGGTTTAAAGTGGCTCGCAACAACACACCGAATCAGCAAAACCTTCCAGTACGACCAGTCTACCATTTTCACACCCATAAAAAAGGCTTGAGGTCGATGGATGCCAGAGGGTGCATAAGACAGGGCTGTCCAAGTCGAAATGGCGAAACTTCTTGCCAGTCAACATATCCCAGATGATGAGCGCTTTGTCTTCGCCTCCGCTAGCGAGATATCGGCCGCAAGAAGAGAATGAAACAGAAGTAATTCCGCTGGCGTGCCCCTGGCGTAGAGTGTACAGAAGAGAGTAGGGAATAAAATGCCTTGTCTCCATTGAGGTCTAAGGTCTAAGGCCTAACGTCAAAAGAACTTCGAAACTGAAGCTTGTCAATAATGCAATGGCTGCCTCGGAACTTACCGATCCTCTTATCTCGTCACATGGCCACATAGCGACCCAACAAAGGCCCTCTTGTATCACAATACGCATTTCTGGGTCAAGATTTGAACAATCAACAAAGAACGCGTGGCTCAGTCAAAGTTCCTCCGAGTATTAAAACGACAGTTTCAAGGTATTACGATTACGATAACTGCCACTTGCCCTTCCAGATGCCCTCCACCACGTCCTCAAATCACTGCGACATTCCTATTGTCTATAGATTAAAATTAGCCAGAGATCGCCATTCTCCTTATCGTCGTCCTCTTCGAGAAGAGAAAGATGTTCGTCAATTCCCTTCTTCTTATCCGTTGATGATTGTAACAACTTCACTGAAATCGCCTAGAATATTCCCATTCGCCTCCAGCCATTCCCACTTCAAACCCCTCTCAGAGGACCTTCAAGTAGGAGTCGACAGTTGTCATTTGATGTATGCGTGACATATTCTCCGCCCTCGACGATTGCATATGACTCAAGTATCACAGACAGTTCCCATCCACCGCCAGCTCTTCACTTCTCAAGAACCTAGAGCTGAGCCGACTTCTGAGACCGACGAGAATCACCCAGGACACTCAATAAACACCTCTACAACAGTCCTCATTGCGTCCGACACTCAGGGTCAATCATCCGCACATGCCGACTCGCATTCCTCCTTGCTTGGCTCTAATTTTAGAACGATCCACGACGAGTACCTTAGCAGTATAGGCGGTGTATCTCCGTCTCAGCCAGGGATGGCGCTGCGTTCAGAGGTCGAGCCATCTCCTCAGAAAATACATCGAAAAGAACGCAAGATTCGTGATCAACCACACTATGTGCGCTGGTTTCCATCAACTGGCGATGGGAGATTGTCGCATCCCTCGCCGTCTGCCCACAGTGATGTGGGAGATCTCTACGTCCATCACTATCCTGGGGGATGTCAATTATGGATACGAACTGATGTGGATTCTTGGAGGAATATCGAGATTGGTCATCCTCACCCAAGTTTAGCTGATTATCGGCTCAAACTCCATAGCAATGGGGAACCCGGATGGGTTACTAAAAAGACCATCAGTACATACAAGTCGAAGAAACCTACTCCGTAACGCTTTTATGTATGCCAGTTGCGGAATTCAATGTTCATAATAATAATATATCTAATAGTATCAACGTTTCTTTATCACGTGACTGTCAATTCAGTACTTTGTCCAATGTCTTGACTTGGTCAATAATTCTGGATGGGAAGCTTGGACTCTACCAAATTTCGATTGGATCGAACGTTTCATGGCCATCATAAAGCGATAAATTGCCTTCGCTTCAACCAGACCGGCAATTTGTTGGCCAGTGCAGGTACTTATGATTCCTTTGAAGTGTCAAACGACGTTCTGATAGCGAGGCATGCGCATGCATAGGAGATGACGGTCAAATCATCATATGGGACGTTAAGAAAGGCTGTCTTTTTGATCTCATTACGCCTAATCAAGGTCCAATTACCGATATCCGTTGGCTTTGTCCAAGAACTTGTGCAGTGGGGGAGTTTGTCCAGTTTGTATGTTGTAGCGGCGACGGAACTGTTCAACTTTGGGGAAAACCCGGTCATAGGGTACGTTTCCCTTTTACGCCCTTCAACAATTGGTTTACATTGTAACACTTGTTTAGTTTGAGCTTCTAGGATCACATGCCGTTTGCGACGGTTCTGTTCAAAGTATGGCTTTAGGAGGAATGAAGATTGCTGTAGTAACCCCTGGAAGACTGTTCATAATACAGATCAATGTTCATGATGACCGTGAGCCTTCTTTTCTCAACAAGGATTGCGACGAGATCGACGTAACTGCGAGTGCAGAACCACTCAAACTCATGATCACTGACCCGAATCTGGAGAAACCGCGATCTCGAGGCTTCATGCGGGATGCTCACTTTATCGACGGGGGACGAGCTCTTTTGATTTGCTATCTCGATACGAAAGAAGTGTACGTTACACATGACACTTTTCGTAAATTTCGCATGATCCCTTATCCTTCGACAGGGTCGTTTGGAGTATCAATCCCTGGAGGCGGATTTGGCAATGCCCGCTAGAACGCCGAATGTGGGTTTTTCTCTTTTCTTTTTCGGAGAGAGACTAACAAGCTATGACATTGTAGTGGGAATAGTGATTGGTCACCATCCTCCAATGCTCTGGCCATTTGGAACCTTCAGAACGGTGTAGACGTGTATCATCTCACTGACACATGCGAACATGTGGGTAATTTTCCAGTAGAAATTCGCAATCAACCCGCTATGCAAGTGCAATGGGGCTTTTATGGTGAATGCGTTATCAGTGGCAGTCATAAGGGTAGAATCTACGTATGGGGCACACAAACAGGCAAAATCCTTCAAATATTACAACACGGAAAAAGTAAGTACTACAGGTACATACTCGTTCGAAAGCTCTGAACGGTATCTCCACGGCAGGATCTCAGATTATTCAGGCCATAACGGTATGTTCTATCCGTTTCCATGCCATATTGCTATCATATATTTCAGTATTTTTCACCCAACTACCACCACCACATGATTGCGAGTGCCTGCCAGCCGACGAGCGACGGCGAAAGGCCGATCATAAAAATTTGGCAGGCTGATACTGTGAGTTTCTGGAATGTGACTTATCTAGTAGTCATCCTTACGCGCTTGTAAGCGTTGGCCAAGACGGCCATGGCAGAGTTGGACCTGCTTCTGTCTCGCTGGTGTGCTAGTAATGGCGATAATTCGCATTTCAGCAGCTCATCTAAAGGAAAGCTCTCTTGTTAAATATTTTTCCTCCGATGTATAAATAGGAAACCATGGACGTGAAGAGCACTCAGAATACGGAGAGCTGCAGAATATATGAACAGTTGTTGCGAGCAGACTCCACGTGCAAGAACTTCGATTCCACGAAGGAATGTTTGAGAGGCTAGAGATGATTGATCCGAAGGCCTTCTGCCACAATTGATGCATCTAGCATAAACAACAAATGCGTAAAGGAAACAGCAGTACCGATGGCTTAACGTGAATGTAAGTAAGCTCGAGTCCGTGCCAAGGAAAAACATGCTTGAGGGAAACTGAGGAGCTGAACTGTTACCATTACGCAGTTAATTGGGCATTGGGCTGTGGCAGTCAGAGATGGACGTGATCCACATATTCTTCCGAAAGCCGTATGCAAGGGCGCAAGTCTAGTCACAAGTCACCCTCCGGCCAATGTGAAGACATCGACAACCCATATAAGCGCCAACTTAGGGTATTACCGTATTAGGGTGTGATTGGCATCGAAGCCACGTGAGTTTCAAACTCCGCTTCTTGGCAACGCCTTGAGAGTTGAAGTCGCTGTGCTTCAAACAACTTCAAACCAACTGCAAAGTGGATGGACACTTATGAATGTCTACCTTGTTGGAAGCATGTAAGCTCTCGTTTATTGCCAAAAATTGACGTTTAAACGTGCTTTTTCCAGGATAATCAGGTTAATCTCGCCGCGTTCCAAATGATATGACTGTAACGCCCAAGCGGCCAGGACTTCGTTTCAATGACCCGGACGTTCCCAAATCGTGAGTGCACCTTATGGGAGCGCTTGCACGCGGACTGCCCTGTGCGTGGACTCGCGCATAGCGCCCATGTCCCACAATTCTTTCGTTTCGCTCCAAGGTCCCGGTCAACCCCTATCGGCCTTTTTTTTCAAGACTTGGGGTCGACTCGAAGTGTCTTCTCTCTTTGTTTCGGTGTCAAAATGCAGACGGCCAACGAAGAATGATATGTCTGTCACGTCTGAACGGCCAGAACTTGATTTCAACCATTTGGATCTTTTCAAACCGTGAAGGTACCTAGAAGGAGCCGTTCCACCCACGTAGGCCGGCTTGTGCGTGGACTCGCGCACAGCGCCCTTGTACCGCAATTGCCTCTTCCCCCCAAGGCTAGTCAAGGGTTGCGTGTGGTGCTGGAACAACGACGCGGACAGCCATAATCTGTTGCCGAGTGCAGGCCTACGTCGGGGAGTCATGGCGATGTGACAGACGCTCACCTTCGACTGTCGTGGACACCATTCGCCTGCTCCCGTGTTTTGCAGGTGTATTTTGCAGCGGACCTTCTCAGCTGCAATCAGCACTCTCATGCGCGACTCCGTTTATCCATGTATGTCATCAGCCGAAATCCCACCACCAGAACCCAGTCGGCCTGAAACGGCGTTGCAACTTGCTTCGACTGAAAATGTTCTCAAGGCCGACAGTTTCATTGACACCTTGTTCGGTTCACGCCTTCCGAAATTTTCGATCATACAGTCAACCCTAGCGTGGAATCGCGCAAAGAGTTTTCTCAGAAACTGTGACCCAGCACCCCTGGGTTGCACATGTGGAATTCATCGAACACGCGGTTCGTAGACAAATTCACACGACACCTCGGTGAGTATTGTTCTCATCTTAGGGAATATATCTGACTTAAGGATCAATAGGCATTCACGTCCTTTAATTTATCCACCTGAAGCCGTTTATCGACTTTTTGTCAGACGACGGCCCACCAACAACTAGCAACCCGTTCGTTACCAGTCTTTCGAGTCGTTCGACGTGATTCGTTGATGTTTGGCATTGTATGGCAAAGGCTTGAGATGACGAATGGCTTCCGGCTTCCAATGCAACATTTGATGCTCTTGACACTTTTCCGGGCACCTCTGTCCTTTACTCCGGGTGTCAGCAGGTGCAGTGTGCGCCTGCCTATCTTTCGATTGTCTTCATCGACCTTCTGTCCGCTCGGTCTGACATGCACGAACAACTCACCCACCTCACCTCACATTGTTTGCAGCCAACTCTAGCGTGAAATCGCGCAAAGGTTTTCTCACAAACTATGAAACTGTGATTCAGCGCCTCTGTGTTGCAGATGTGGAATTCACTGAACTTGGTAGACAAATTGCCGCACAAGAAACCTGGCATCGGCTTGGTGAGTACTATTGTCTTCATCCTAGGAAATATATCTGACTCGAGGCTCAATAGGCATTTACGTCCTTTGTACGATCTGCCTGAAGCTGTTTATCGACTTTCTGGCAACGAGGGCCCACCAACAAGTGGCAATCAGCTCGTTACCACTCTGTGGACGTGATTCCACCCATTGAATGTTTGGAGTTGTGTGGCAAAGGCTTCGGATGACGAATGGCTTCTCGCTTTCAACGCAACACTTGATGCTCTTGACACTTTTCCGGGCACGTCTGTCCTTTACTCCGGGTGTCAGCAGGTGCATTGTGCGCACTGTCCGCCTATCATCCAACGTCTTCATCGACATTCTTTTCGCCCCGCCTCCTTTTCGCCCCGTCTGGCAGTGAGTGACCTGCATCAACTCGCTCTGCGTCAGCCTCACCTCACTTCGTTTGATCATTCACAGTCAACCCTATCGTGAAACCGCGCAAAGCGTTTTTAGAAACATGAATCAGCACACTTGTCTTGCACATGTGGAATTAATCGAACACGGTAGACAAATTGCCTCCCAAGAAACCTCACATCGGCTGGGTGGGTATTGTCTTCATCCTAGGGAATATATCTGACTCAAGTCTCAATAGGCATTCACGTCCTTTGATTCATCTGTTTATTGACTTTTTGCCAGAGGAGGGCCCACCAACAACAAGCAATCAGCTCGTTACCAGTGACGTTGTGGACGTGATTCCACCCTTTAATGTTCGGCGTTGTGTGGCAAAGGCTTCCGGGGACGAATGCAACATTTAATGATCTTGACACTTTTCCGGGCACGTCTGTCCTTTAATCCGGCAGGTGCATTGTGCGTGTTGTCTGCCTATCCTTCGACCGTCTTCATTGACCTTCTTTCCGCCCGGCCTGACATGCACGGCCAACTCGCTTTGCACCCCACTTCATTTGCAGCCAACTCTGCTAGCGTGAGATTGCGCAAAGAGTTTTCTCGCAAACCATGACTCAGCATCTCTGTGTTGCACATGTGGAATTCATAGAACACGATAGACAAATTGCGGCCCAAGAAACATGGCATCGGCTTGGTGAGTATTGTGTTCATCCTAGGGAATATAACTGACTCAAGGCTCAATAGGCGCTTACGTCCTTCGATCCATCTGCCTGAACCTGTTTATCGACTTTCTGGCAGACGAGGGCCCACCAACAACTAGCAATCAGCTCGTTACCACTCTTTGGACATGATTCGACCCATTCATGTTTGGCCTTGTGTGGCAAAGGCTTCGGATGACGAATGGCCTCTCGCTTTCAATGCAACGCTTGATGCTCTTGACACTTTTCCGGGCACGTCTCCCCATTACTCCCAGTGTCAGCAGGTGCATTGTGCGCGTTGTCTGCCAATCCTGCGATCGTCTTCATCGACCTTCTCTCCGCTCGGTCTGACGTGCACGGTCAACTCGTCTTGCACCTTATCTCACTTCGTTTGCAGCCAACTCTAGCGTGAAATCGCGCAATGAGTTTTCTCACAAACTATGATTCAGCACCTCTGTGCTGCAGATGTGGATTCATCGAACACGGTAGAGAAATTTCCGCACAAGAAACCTGGCATCGGCTTGGTGAGTACTATTGTCTTCATCCTAGGGAGTATATCTGACTTAATGCTCAATAGGCGTTGACGACCTTTGATCCATCTGCCTGAAGTTGTTTATCGGCTTTGTGGCAGACGAGGGCCCACCAACAAGTATCAATCAGCTCGTTACCACTCTGTGGACGTGATTCCGCCCATTAATGTTTGGCGTTGTGTGGCAAAGGCTTTGACCGACGAATACTACTTAGCTTTCAATGCAACATTTGATGTACTTGAACCTTTCCCGGGCACGTCTGTCCTTTACTCCGGGTGTCATCAGGCGCATTGTGCTCGTTGTCTGCCTATCCTTCGAATTTATTGACCTTCCGTCCGCCCGGTCTGACACGCACAATCAGCTCGCTTTGTCGCCCTCACCTCACCTCACTTCGTGATCATGCAACGTTTTCTGGAGTCTTCTCCAGATCACTTTTCATCCAAACTTCGCCTCAATTACTAACTCCAGTCTGACATCGCGCACAGAGCTGCTTCAAAACTTTCCAGCCAACGTTGCTATTTCATAGCGGTAGCTTCTCAGTGCGAATGGTTCCAAATATTCTTGCACGAACTAAGGGCAAAGTAACCTCGAGTGACCGCTTACCCGCCCTGTTCTCTACGATTTCACGGCGGATCTCCTTCTCAGCCGCAATCAACCTCCATGTGCGATTGAGCTGACGACAACTCTGTCCATCCACACCAGAACGGAATTGGCTGAAACAGCGGTGTGTTTTTCTTCGATTCTCATGGTCGACAAGGTGTTCCATTGGCATCTTTGCTGTCCACGCCCTTCGAGATTCTCAATCATACGTCAATTCTGGCGTGGCATCTTGTTTCCTCTTGTTCCGGCCATTTTGACTCGAGGCTGCGTCAACCCCGTCATCGGCCAGTCAACCGCATCATCAGCCATATTCCTAGACGAAGTTTTCCCAGAACGCCAGCGCGGTTTTTACATGGCCGACGGGTCGCTTCATTAGCACCTATGCCCGTTGACGCCTTCCGAGATTCTTTACCACCCAGGAAACTCCGGCGTGAAATCGCGCAAGGAGTTCTTCTGAAACTTATGAATTAACACCTCCGTATGGCGCACTTGCAATTCATCGAACACATTTGTCCTAAACAAATCGCAGCAATCCCCATGCAACAAACCCAAATTCTTTTCACGGTCGCCCTTTGTAAAATGGCGGGGTCCTTTCTGTCGTCTTTCCGCTGTTACTTCCCAACGTATCTTGTCCTCGCTGTTTGGTTCCATATTGTTATGGCATTGGCAACATCGTCTTCTAGTTCCTACTTCCTCAACAAAGCATCCCGCGAAGATGGGTTGGAAAAAATGGCTTTGTCGCACTGCAACAAAGATCTTTACGCCTCCGCCCATCCGCAGGGGTAGTCCCATACTATAACCTGCTCACTATGGCTCGCCCTCGTAGATGATCTGTCAAGGGCTACTCGAGGGTCTCAGCAATTCAACAACTGTACTCAGACGTCCAGAATAACGTCATCCGTTGGTCATGCGTGCACCGGAGTAAGATTACTTTTCGCTTTTCCTTGATTTGATTGCGATACATTCGACTTAATCTGCAAACTTCCCTCGCGATCGGATTTTGTAACTCTCGCCTTATTTGCCGTTTGTCAGAGGTGGAGTTGTTTGGATGCAAAATGTCAAATGCGGTCGGGGTAAGGGGGGGGGGGGCGTACATTACATGTTGAGATGCAGCTCATGTTTGTGAATTGAAGTTGGCAACTTTTTGTTTAGTATTTTGATCACTCTAGTATTACAGCTTTTCAAAAAGGTTGACAGTAACGTGAGTTGTGGGAAAGAGACCCTGTAGTCAGCAACAAATCAAAGCTTCTAGATGATCACCTATCTCTCATCTCAATATGCCGCTGAAATTATGTCAGTGCCATACTTGCATCAAGGTCGAAAGTAAAGATCCGGATACAGGCGCACCTATCCAGGGTACTTTCGTGTCGCAAAGTACCTTTGCGAACCACCGACAACCATCTCGACAGTCGAAGTCCCATCATAACAAACATGCTGCACGAGCATTACCCAAAGCAGAAGACTCCATATTCTCTGCAACAGTTCGACCAACTCAAACGATCGCCCGCGTCCCAGATCATTTAGATTTCGACGATGGAGCAGCCCCCGAACTGTGTCCTCCGTTGACTAAGAAAGGTGAGTTGTCGAAAGGGTGTTACATCTGTTTTACATTCATGATTTTTTAGAGGAAGCGGCTTTGCAGAAAATTCAACTTTGTTTAGATGAATTTTGTCGACTGCAAGAGGCAGCTAAACCGCTTCCGCCATTGATTTTTCCACCCACGCCCACGGATATTCCAGAGTCTCCACCTCAATTACCGTTTGGACCCAACGAAAAATATCTTAAACATCAGAGTTCGGTCACGCCTCTTATGAATCAAGTGGATGGTATTCGGACAGATGAGAGCGTTGTAGTGCGCCGCGCCCGCAAACGGGCCATTGACCAGATGATCGCTTACGACGATAGTCTGACTGGTTATGTGGCGACGTGTTGGGAGAGAGAAAGAGGTCTCCGCCTCCAAACGTCTATGGGGTCGAACGCCTCGCAAGCCGGTGGACCACCTGATGTCACGATTGAAGGTCGGTCCATTACCATATATATCAATGGTTGCCCTCGTTGATAGATTTGTGATTGAATTCGATAGAGAAGCAGGCATTACAGAAGCTCGAGACATATTTGAGTGAATTCAATCGACAAAAGTCAAAATTTAGCGAGCTTTCTCCATTAACCTTCCCGCTTACTCCGGACGACATACCAGACCCTCCCCCCAACCTACCATATTCACCAAACAAAAAATTCATACAACACCGCCAATTTATTGATGTGTTGATCTCTCGAGTGCGTGGCTTGGGGGTCAATGCCACTGATGCCGTCACCAATCGTCAAAAAGAGGTCATCGCCCTAGTGACTGCCTATGATGATCAGCTCAGAAGCTACGTGACTGAAACTTGGAAAAGGGAAAGGGATGAGCGCCTGCATCAGCGCTCCAACCCAATGGAAACCATCGACTGCAGTACGTCTTTTAGATGTGGCCATATGATTGCTTTCTCAATATTCTTTACAGGTCCCCATTCTGACCACATCAAGAACATTTCAGGAATGCCACACGCGATATTAGCTTCAATCGTCACCGTCTTTATCCTGACCCTCATCTCCAACCTTCCGCGAAATGGGTCAAACTTTCTTCTCTATGCCATGCGGACGGTGGCCACAACGGCGTGCACCTATTACGTGAAACAATGTTTCAATGTAGACAATCCTCCTGATCCACTCCGCATTCTTACGGCAGGCGATCACTGGCCAATCGATATTCGCACAGCAATGGCAAACTTTCGTCTTGATCCAGACCTTGTTATATATGCGTCATGCCCAAAATGTTTCTCCTGTTATGACAAGGTCGACGGAAAGTACCCCGAGCACTGCAAATTTATGAGCACGCCTAGCTGCCCTCCTTGTGGGACCAAGCTCACCATTCGTAAACAAACACTAAAGAATGGTCAGCCTGCAAAAGTTGATTTCGTCCCCATCCAACCATACGCATACCAACCCATCACATCTTATCTTTCTCGTCTATTATCCCGGCCGGGCCTTTTGGAGCTGATGAAGAAGACAGCAGTACCCTGGAATGCAGGCAAACCGCGATGGTGGGATTTCTTTGGGGCTCGCGCATTTCGACAATTCCTAGGGCCTGACGGTGAAAAACCTTTTCTGATGTGTCCTGATGGGGAAACCCGCCTTATATTTAGTCTCTTTGTTGACTGGTTCAATCCCTATGGTAACAAGATCGCCGGGAAGAAAGCCTCCATTGGTGGCATCTACATGGTCTGCCTCAACCTTCCTCCCCACCTTCGATTTCGCGTTGAGAACGTTTATCTCGTTGGAATAATTCCAGGAGAACCTCACCTTGACCATGTTAATCACCTTCTCCGCCCACTCATCTCAGACCTGCTTCCATTGTGGCACACTGGGGTTAAGTTCTTGAACGTAATAAACGCTGCAACAAACCTTTTTGTTCGCTGTGCCATAGTTCCGCTCGTAGCGGACTTGCCTGCTTCTAGGAAGGCCTCGGGGTTTGCCGGTCACAGTGCTCATTTCTTCTGCAGCTTCTGCCGGCTACGCAAATCAGACATAACGAATCTCGACGTCGGATCATGGTTACGTAGGAGCCGAGCCGAACACTATGCTGCTGCTTTGCGTTTCCGAGATGCACGCAATATTCGAGAACGTGACGATGCGTTTGACACCGATTATACTCGATGGAGCGAATTGTTGAGGCTTCCATACTGGGATCCCACTAAGTTCACAGTCATCGATCCCATGCATAATCTCTTCCTCAACCTAGCAAGCTATCACATAAGGTCATTTTGGAAGACGTGCTCTACCTACGTACAAGGGCGAAGAAACCAAGAACCCCATTCCCCAGCTGAACAAGCTCAAGAAATCGATAAAGCCCACCGGTGGATTAAAGCAGGGAACACAAATGCTTTGAGCAGAATGAGAAGGACATACGTTGAATATGTCTCTCATGCCAATCAAACTGAGATATCAGCGAATTCTAAAAAAAACCTACAACTTGCGACCGAGGTTGTGAATTGGGTGATGACTCTCAATCATATGTCTTCATGCACTGAAACTGATTATGTATTTCAGTGGAAGGCTCGGCCAGCTGGCAGTGAGCTGATCAAGCCTCCACCGCTAACCGTTCCAGCTGTGAATATTTTACAGGCTCTGAATCCAGACAGCATAATTGGCGAGGCGGAGTTGAATGAAATCTGGGGAGATATGGAGAAAACAACAACTCCGAACTGGTTTAACCGCGCCCCAAAGAATTTCGGCACCGTCAAACATGGAAAGATGTCTGCCGATCATTGGCGCAGCGTCTGTACTGTCAATCTCGTTATTACCCTCATACGATTATGGGGCCAACCTGGAGCATCCCAACGCCACAAAAAGCTTTTAGAGAATTTCATGGCACTCGTATCTGTGTTTCGCTGGGCCCCAACACGCTCTACATCAGAACGCCAAATACAAGTAGTTGAGCGCCAGCTCCAGAAGTATTATAAATCCCTCATGGCCCTTTCCGGAAAGGAGCACATGACGCCCTCTCACCATCTGTCTCTCCATCTCCCTGAATGTCTTAGGGAGTTTGGTCCTGTACACGGTTGGTGGGGCTTTGCATTCGAGAGATACAATGGCATCATCCAGCGCCAAAACTCCAATAATAAACTGAGTTAGTGAAATGTTGTTCTTATCTTCATTTACGATAGATAATTTTCCTTATAGATGAGCTGGTGCTTACCTTTACTCGAACCTTCTGCAGAGCAGCCAATTTGAAAGCTCTCCTCGCTCAACCTGGTTTATCCCCCATTTTAGATGAGATTAAACCGGGATTCGAGCAACAATATCCCAACGAATTGAGAGGCTCAACCTTGAACGATGTTCTTTCTTACGAAGGTTATTTTGACACAAATGAGGACCTCGAGTGGGATCCCGCGAACAAGGAGGTGGATTTGTCCCTGGAGGTTTTGAACGCGCTCAAAGTCAAATTAAATCAAGCCAACACAAATGTCACCTTTGTGACTGATCGTTCGCAAACGGGGAGTCTTCTCGAACCAACAGCTCAACGACTCAGGTATCTGAAGGCGAGGGGAGTCACATTTTCTCCTGCCAAACAGTCTGAAGGCAATTCTTCCATCCTCTTTCGCCCAGTGGGAGGCGATGCCATCGTTGCGGGACAGATACAAGACATTTTCTTGCATGCGACGAAGTCTGGTGTGGATGAAATAGTTAAGCTTGAATCTTTCCTTGTTGTCAAGAAGTTTAGGCCGTTGTCAGCCGAGGACGAGCGGATAGACCCATATAGGGCATTTCCGCTTCTTGACGTGCGGCTTTATCACGATATTCTCCTTCCAGAAGTATTCGTCATCACATCGTCGGATATCGTTTCTCATTTTGCAAGCTGCCCATTCCAGTTCTTAGGCCAGGGCCATCAATATCGAATTGTATTATCTCTTGACCGTGTAAGTCTATTGGAAGGCTTTTTAAATAGATACTAACGGGCAGTAAATCCATGCAGGATGGGGTCGAGTTTGTTGACAGGGACGAGCGCGGGCTCTATTTTTCGAGATGATGGTCACAGGAACGCAACTGCGCCAGCATACACATTTTCGCGTAAATTTCGATGTTCTTCACAAGGCTACCTGTAATATATAAGGAATGTAAGCGACACTCATGTAAAATTATAGTCCATGAGACGAAATTATGCCAAAGAATTGCAGCACATTAATGTGTGTTCACAGTCATGCGTCAACAAATAAATTGACCAACGAGGTATCTCAGAAGTCATATGTTACATGAGGCGGATTGGGTTGGTGCATGTCGAGGATATCTCTGTATAGGATTGGAGGTAGCAACGTGAATACCTCAATGTGCCACAGCTCTTTGCGCAATTTCACGGTAAGGGTGACTGAATGATCGAAAGTCTTACAGGGTGTAAGCAGAACAAGGTGCCTCGTCAGCTCAACCGCGCATGATGATGATGTTGATTGTAGCTGAGAGGAAGATCCGCCGCAAAATCCGTTCGCAGAACGCGGAAGCAGGCGAATTGTGTCCCACGAGAGGGACTGCCACATCGACATGACTGCCAAACAAAGGCTGCTTGGGGCGGGATGGAAGAATTGCGGGAGCCTGTCGCTGTACGACTTCACGCACAAGCTGGCTCCTTCTGGGCACATTCATCGTTTGAAAGGATCCAAATGGTTGAAACCAAGTTCTGGCCATTCAGACCTGATAGGCAGATCGTACAAAGAACGTAAATGCCTATTGGGCCTTAAGTCAGATATATTCCTTAGGATGAAGACAATAGTACTCACCAAGCCGATGCCAGGTTTCTTGTGCGCAATTTCTCTACCCAGGTCAATGAATTCCACATCTCCCACACAGAGGTGCTGAATCATAGTTTGTGAGAAAACTCGTTGCGCGATTTCACGCTACAGTTGGCTGCAAACAAAGTGAGGTGAGGTGGGTGCAAAGCGAGTTGTTCGTGCATGTGAGATCGGGCGGAGAGAAGGTCGATGAAGACGATCGAAAGATAGGCAGGCGCACACTGCACCTGCTGACACCCGGCGTAAAGGATAGACGTGCCCGGAAAAGTGTCAAGAGCATCAAGCGTTGCATTGAAAGCATTCGTCATCCGAAGCCTTTGCCACACAATGCCAAACATGAATGGGTCCATAGAGTGGTAACGAGCTGATTGCTAGTTGTTGGTGGGCCCTCGTCTGCCAGAAAGTTGATAAACAGATTCAGGCAGATCGTACATAGGACGCAAAGGCCTATTGAGCCTTAAGTCAGATATATTCCTTAGGATGAAGACAATAGTACTCACCAAGCCGATGCCAGCTTTCTTGTGCGCAATTTCTCTACCCAGGTCAATGAATTCCACATCTCCCACACAGAGGTGCTGAATCATAGTTTGTGAGAAAACTCGTTGCGCGATTTCACGCTACAGTTGGCTGCAAACAAAGTGAGGTGAGGTGGGTGCAAAGCGAGTTGTTCGTGCATGTGAGATCGGGCGGAGAGAAGGTCGATGAAGACGATCGAAAGATAGGCAGGCGCACACTGCACCTGCTGACACCCGGCGTAAAGGATAGACGTGCCCGGAAAAGTGTCAAGAGCATCAAGCGTTGCATTGAAAGCATTCGTCATCCGAAGCCTTTGCCACACAACGCCAAACATGAATGGGTCCATAGAGTGGTAACGAGCTGATTGCTAGTTGTTGGTGGGCCCTCGTCTGCCAGAAAGTTGATAAACAGATTCAGGCAGATCGTACATAGGACGCAAAGGCCTATTGAGCCTTGAGTCAGATATATTCCCGAGGATGAAGACAATAGTACTCACCAGGACGATGCCAGGTTTCGTGTGCGGCAATTTCTCTACCGTGTTGAATGAATTCCACATCTCCCACACAGAGGTGCTGAATCGAAGTGAGATAAGGTGCAAAGCGAGTTGTTCGTGCATGTCAGACCGAGTGGAGAGAAGGTCGATGAAGACGATCGAAAGATAGGCAGGCGCACACTGCACCTGCTGACACCCGGCGTAGAGGATAGACGTGCCCGGAAAAGTGTCAAGAGCATCACATGTTGCATTGGAAGCCCGAGTTCGTCATCCAAAGTCTTTGTCATACAACGCCAAACACCACTGTGTGGCAAATTGGAATCACGTCGAAAGACTGGTAGCGAGCGGGTTGCTGGTTGTTGGTGGGCCGTCGTCTGACAAAAAGTCAATAAACAGCTTCAGGTGGATGAATCAAAGGACGTCAATGCCTATTGATCCTTAAGTCAGACATACTCACCGAGGTGTCTTGTGAATTTGTCTACGAAACGCCTCTTCGATGAATTCCACATGTGCAACCCAGGGGTGCTGGGTCATGGTTTCTGAGAAAACTCTTTGCGCGATTTCACGCTAGAGTTGACTGTATGATCGAAAATTTGGAGGGCGCGAACAGAACAAACAATGTTTCAATGAAACTGTCGGCCTTGAGAACATTTGCAGCCTGAGCAAGTTGCAGCGCCGTTTCAGGCCGATTGCTTCCTGGTAGGGGGATTTCGCCGGATGACATACATGAGCAATTGTCAGCTCAACCGCGCATAATAATGTCGTTTGCAGCTGAGAAGAAGGTCTGCTGCAAAATACACCTGGAGAACACGGAAGCCGGCGAATGGTGTCCACGACAGTTGAAGGTGAGCGTCTGCCACATCGCCATGACCGGTAATAGCTGTCGGCGTCGTTGTTTCAGGACCGCAAGCATCTCTTGACTAGCTTGGGGGAATGAAGAGGCAATTGCGGGATATGGGCGTTGTGCGCGAGTCCACGCACAATCCGGCCTACGTGGGTGGAAGGGCTCCTTCTGGGCACATTCACGATTTGAAAAGAACCCAATCGTTGAAATCAAGCTGTGGCCGTACAGACGTGTCAGTCGTGTCATTCTGCGTTGTCCGTCTGCATTTTGATATCAAAACAAAGATAGAAGACACCTCGAATCGACCCCAAATCGTAGGAAAAAGGCCGATAAGGGTTGACCTTGGAGCGAAACGAAAGAATTGTGGGACATGGGCGCTATGCGCGAGTCCACGCACAGGCCGGTCCGCGTGCAAGCGCTTCTTCATAGTGCATTCACGATTTGGAAACGTCCGAGTCGTTGAAACCACTGGCCCGGCCATTCGGACCCTACAGTCAAATCATTCGGAACGTGGCGAGATTAGCCTGATTATCCTGGAAAAAGCACGTTTAAACGTCATTTTCTGGAAGTAAACGAGATCTTACATGCTTTCAACAATGTAGACATTTATAAGTGTTCATCCACTTTCAAGTTGGTTTGGAGTTGGTTTGAAGCACAGGCTCTGAAGGCGTTGAGTAGCGGAGTTTGAACCTCACGTGATGCCAATCGCAACGATTCGTTTCAATTCAACGCAGCAACCAGACCCAACCTTATAGCCAAGTTTCTCTTCAAGTTGCAATTGGCCTCTCCGGCTCAAATGGGTTGTCGATGTTTCACATTGGCCGGAGGGTGACTTGTGCGTAGATCTACGCTCTTGCATACGGCCTTCGGAAGAATATTTGGGTCACGATTTGAGGGTATGTCCAGGTTTTCTCGTCATTCAGTCCGTCTCTAACATACTTGTCTGTATTTTACAGTGGATGATTGCAACCTTTTGTTTACTCAGTCTAGTGAACACCTCCTTCGTACTGCTTCGATCCGCGCATGGTGTCAGCCGCATTGAGCAGAGCGATTATGGGCGCCAACAAACTGTGTGGCCTCGCGTGCAGTTTTGGCACTCGAACTCGGAGGAAAACATTGGCTTCCTTGTCATCTGGTACCCCAATTTCAATGCACTCAGGATGCGCCTTTCCCTCTCTGTTCGAACTCCGGTAACTTTTATCTATTTAGTTGCCGCAAATTCTTACTCCGCGCGACTCGTGTTCATGTCAAGGGCCATTTCCACTCTTCTTTGTTAGCATCTCTTTCATTGCCTTCTCTACCGTTCATCTTTCATTATCTTCTCCCAACCATCCCAAGTCTACAGTTTCCTACGTGAACTCCATGGCCCCAAACCCCATCTATCAGGTTTGTTTGACATTCCGCCGTTGTGCAATCTTTTGACTTCTTTCACAGCAAACCAAATTAAAAACTTTGTACTTTTCAACAACCTCTCGAAGGCCCCTCCGTATTTCTCTTCCTACCCTTATTTCGCCTTCCGGGAAACGCTTCCCCGTGGTATCTACCACCCTTCGTGGTTATACAACTATCCCTGTGAAGAAAGTTAGAGTTTCGATTCGGGACGACGAGAACGATCAATACCGCTTTACGGTCTATTTTCGACATGACCAGCTCCTGGGTGTCAACGGCGCCGCTGGTACTCTGGCGCCCTTTGTCCCGTGGACGGGGGACTTCATCGTCATCCAGGAAGGTTATCGATACAATTATATTGGATTGGCCAGCTGGTACGCTTACAATATGGCGCATAGGGCAGCTCGTGTGTGCGTGCGTCGACAACCTCATATCTTTCTGTTCCATTCTCACATATTTGTAGCTTTCTCGATCATGCCCACGAATGCATTCAAGCCGCTGGAGGGGAAGATGCTTTTTCGGTTATCTTCCCAACCCAGATTGATGAACCACAAGCAAACTGAAGCTTCCCTTTTTCCATGTGTGTAGTTCCGCTTTCCTGCGAGGCACTTTGTGTTTCGTCTTTGTTGTTCCTTTTCGGTTTCACACCTGTCATGCGGTGAGATAGGGAGATGATTAGCTGCCGAAAATACGAATTTTATCTTATAGTGCCTCAGATTTTTCGTTCTACTTACACATATTATATGACAATCATTACTTAGTACTCGGGTGGATCTGGAATGAATTTGTGTTACCATCTCCCTACTTAAAGTCAATTCTAATTTTCTATCACCGTGGGACGTACGAAAAGGATAAGAAGCTTCCTCCAGGCCCGAGGGGACTGCATTTTTAAAACTGTGTTTGAGAAGTCCAAAAGGTCAAGACTCAAGTCAGAAAGCGCGTTGGACGTCGTTCGAAGATTAGGATTTGAGCCATCCGACCTTCCTTGCTTTATCCTCGCTCAGGATGATATATACGCTGTTCATAGGTGGGGTTTGCGCATTACAAACAAGGACCCGATAGAATTTCAGCTACGGATAAATGGAATTAGAAATTAACAGTGACCCCTCATCAACGCGAGTTGCTCGACGAGCTAAGTACACCGATGTTCGTTTGACTACATGTTATACATCAGTACTGTTGGGAAAACAACCTCGTCAAGGTTTTCCGCCTCAGCGTCAAGGATGCTGTTGTGCGCAGTGTGCAGAAAGCTGGGCGAGTGGTGAGATCGTATAAGACTCGTGTTCAAGAAGCGCAATTACACACCGCCGAACAGCAGTCTTCGCAAAAGAGATATCACGGTTGGACAGATCCGTGAAGTTAACGCGACTCCCTTCCCGGACTAGCAATAAATCCCCTGCCCAGTGAACTTCCGGCGCAATGGCAGCGGCGGCTCGGTTACGGATCATGCCTTCATCGTACCGGTGATAGACAGTGAAGTTGTATTGTTTGCGGTGGCGAGTTTTTAAAGAGATGAGGGTGGTGCTTGGAGTAATCGTTGGATATTCGCTCAGGGCGGTGGACAAAACGGGGAACCGTTCACCAGAAGGTGAAACGAGAGCAGGAATAGATATCGGACGGGCATTCCTTGAGGACATTGAGAAGTACAAGACTTTCAGATGAATTTGCTAAGAAAGTAATCAGAAAGAACAAAGGGTGCGTTTGCAGTCAAATCACCTGGTAGACATCCGTGGGCATAGCGCTGTACTGAACGTGAATGTGGTGAATGAAGGCAGACGGGGATGAAAGCGATAGGAGGAGTGGCGAAAGAGATATGGACAAAGGCGGCCCTTTTAACGTTTCGCGGAGTGCGATTCACGGCGGAAATCACCGGGAGTATGACCGAAAGGGTGAAGAGTCCCGTTGTGGGGATAAAAAACAGAAAGTGCATAATACCAAGGTGATGGCGCAGTGACTGTAACTCGTATATAAAGAGACGGAGCACTAGGATGCAAAGAGACCAATAGCCACATAATTTGGCTTGAAAACTTTGGAGGCGAATCCAAGCGCGGAAACTAGCAGTGGAGCAACGGTAGACCAGCGAATACATGCCTCAAGCGGACAGGGAGTGGGAAATGAGGGTCCTACAAAGCGAGCGTCCTTTGGAAGCAGGCGTGGTATATCCTAAGAGGGTGCATCCTAGGTTTTGACCACGGCTATCTAAAAAAAAATAACAGGTGTTGGAACTGCAGTGAGAGGCCTGGTACCGTCCTTACCAGTTATCGTGGTCCGACGGCCACACAGGCCCGAGTCTGGGCGTCGTTAGAGCGAAACAGGGCAGCCTGAATTGCGAAATACGCATGGACGCTGCGCGCGAGTTCACGCACAGGCCAACCCACGGTCTTCGTGAACGGGCTCCTCAAACCAATGTTGAACGCACCAACGATCTAGTCGCCTTGGATTGGTTGTGTCGAAGTACGTAGCCGGAGCAGTGTAAGAATCCCAGTGTGCTTCGCTGAGTATCGGGGTTTAAATTTCTTGATTTAAACCTCAATGCCAATCGTGCGCGATTTCACGCTAGAGTTGGCTGCGAACGAAGAGGTGGGTGCAAAGCCAGTTTATTGTGCATGTCAGACCCGGCGGAAAGAAGGTCGATGAAGACAATCAAAGGATAGGCAGACAACGTACTTCGGAAACATCAACAACCCAGATAAGCCGGAGAGGTCAGTTGCAATTGCTCAGAGATATACGAATTGCGGAGAACCCTTACAGACCCACGAATACATCTTAAGGTCATGCGCCCGATGCACAAATCACCGGGAGAGCCTACAGAACGAGGAAAGGGAGACACCCTGCCGGAGCTACTAGGCACACCCAAGGGAATCGCCGCCCTCGCCGAATTATTTAGAAAATCAGGCGCCTTTACTTTCACCGGAGAGAAGGACACGCCCAAAGACGCCCCAACCTTCGAAGATGAACCAGAGCCCCCAGACATAGACTCGGAAGACAATACCTCCGACTCAAACCAGTAACCCGACCCACCTCACACTCCCGCTGACACCCCACCTCGAGCACCACAGCGCTCCCAATTTCCTTCTGCAATCACCACCCGTCTTTATTATACACTACACACTACCTCTTCCATACAGCTTCACTACAATCATCTACATTCACGGAGGTGATTCTACAGTACCTAAGGGCAGCCTGATGCTGTCGGTGCGTCTTAGTACTAGTAGTTGTCACACGTAAATCCCTGTAAATCCGAATCGAAATGAATCGTCATTGAAACCACGTGACGTTTAACTTTGAAACTCCGCTCCTTAGAAAGTTGAACACCAAGGCGCACGGGCATCTTCAAACTAATCTCTACGTTGTTGGAAGTATCTCGTTTACTGCAAAAAATGTCCAGCGACCTCTAAACTTGCATTTTCTAGGATAATCCGGCTAATCTCGGCACGTCCCGAACGATATCATTGTCACGTCTACTCGTTGTCTGAATAGCCAGAGCTTCAGCTTCAGGACTCGATTTCAACGACTCGGGTCTTCCAAATTGCGAATGCACCTTGAAGGAGCGCTTGTACGCGGACCTGGCTGTGCGTGGATTCGCACACAACCCCCATGTCGCACAATTGTTTCCTTTCGTTCCAATGTCATCTCTTATTGGTTTTGTTCCCTGCAATTTGTGATCGACTTGAGGTGTCTGCTCTCTTTGTTTGGGTATCAAAATGCAGACGGCCAATGCAGAATGATATGGTTGTCACGTTTGAAATTTGAACGGCCAGTACTTGATTTCAACCATCTGGATCTTTTCACGTCGTGACATTTGAATGTGTCTTCCACCCACGTAGGCCGGATTGTGCGTGGACTCGCGCACAGCGCCCATGTCCCGCAACTGCTTCTTTTCCGCCCCAAGCTCAGCTAAACCGCGCATGTCAATGTTGATTGCAGCTGGAAAGGAGGTCCGCTGCTGCAGAACACGGAAGCAGGCGATTGGTGTCCCACGACAGTCCAGGGTGAGCGTCTGTCACATCCCCATGACTCCCCGGCGTAGGCCTACAGTCGGCAACAGCTGTCCGCGTTCTTGTTCCAGCACCCCACGCAACGACGGTTACGCATCTTTGCCATCAAGCGAAATTCCCTACCAGAACGCAATTGGCCTGAAACGGCGTTGCAACTTGCTTCGGCTGCAAATGTTCTCAATGCCGACAGTTTCATTGACACCTTGTTTGTTCTGTTCACGCACGCCCTCCAAAATTTTCGATCATACAGTCAGCTCTGGCGTGAAATCGCGCAAAGACTTTTCTCATAAACTATGACTCAGCACCCCTGTGTTGCACATGTGGAATTCATCGAACACGGAAGACAAATTGCCGCACAAGAAACCTCGCATCGGCTTGGTGAGTGTTGTCTTCATCTAAGGGAATATAACTGACTCAAGGCTCAATAGGCATTTTATGTCCTTTGATCCATCTGTCTGAAGCTGTTTATCGACTTTCTGGCAGACAAGGGCCCACCAACAGCTACCAAGCAGCTCGTTACCACTCTGTGGACGTGAATTCCAATTTTACCAGCCATTGATGTTTGGCGCTGCTTGGCAAAGGCTTCGGATGGCGAATGGCATCTGGCGTTCAATGCAACATTTGATGCTCTTGACACTTTTCCGGGCACGTCTGTCCTTTACTCCGGGTGTCAGCAGGTGCATTGTGCGCGCTGTCTGCCTATCCTTCGATCGTCTTCATCCACCTTCTTGCATCGACCTTACCTCAGTGCTCACTTCGTTCGATCATGCAACGTTTTCTGGAGTCTTCTCCAGATTACTTTGCATTCAACCATCGCTTCAGTTGCGCTTCATAGCGACCCCAGTCTGACATCGCGCAGGGCCGCTTCAAAACTTTCCAGCCAATGTTGCGGATTGCTATTCCATAGCGGTAGCTTCTGACCACGAACTACGGGCAAAGTCGAAGTGCCCCTATGACCTCAACTCCCGCGGGGAAAAGATTCTCGTTTACTCCAGTCGTCTGCGTTTGTGTTCTACGCTGAACCTTCCTAACCTTCAATGACCGCTTACCGGCCCTGTTCTCTGCGAATTTGTGACCGACTGTCAGTACCACAGCTCATGGCTTTTCACACTAGGGAGCCACGCTCTCGCCTATTGGAGGCGGGCTTCTTTATCTGCCGTGAGGCGTGTTGATCCTTTGATCAGCCTCTGTGTCAGGCCTTTTTCCTTGGGTTCTGCCAGTAACTTTGTCCTGCATTCAAGCGCTTAAGTTATTGGATGCTATTATGCTAAGCTCTCCTCTGTCGTCGCTCCTCCCTTCCTTCTTTCCCCTTTCCTTTTCGTCCGCCTTCGCCCCTTTTCCTGTCCTGCTTCGCGCTCACCCGTTGTCTAATGTTCTCCCGGGCCCTCAGTTGCCGTATCCATCTTCCTCCTTCAATTTTGCGCGTTCCCATATTCTTTGCTTCTTTATTGAAAACTTCTAGAGTAGGGTGTTCCATTTCCTCTTGATTGTCAGCTACTTTCCCTGTGCTGCTTTTTACATTGTCTCCGCTCCTTCCTCCCATCTCCTTAAATATCTTACAAACGTCAATGTTCAATTGCTGCGGCACGCCCGTCATCAAGGTGTGACTTCTCTCTTCTGGAGTCGTCAATGCATCGCACAGACGAATGTATCATTTTTAACGGAGCTATGCACAAACTCGACACAAGGATCTACATAATCATGTGATGACCGCGTTACATAATGTTCTGAGCTGCATACTCTTTCAAGACTCTCCAGCAAGTTCTTCTGCAACGATGCCTTTTGAGCCTTACACGCGTCTTCACACGCTAGCTGGCTCCCATGTATCTGGCGTCAACGTTTTAGCATTTTCCTCTTGCGGGCGTTATCTTGCGAGTGGATCTAACGACAAGTCCATCATCATTTGGGACCCCATTTCGGGCAAAAGTTTGCAAAGAATTTTTGTCAAAGATGAAGTCTCGTCTTTGATATGGCACCCTCGAAATTGCGCATTGTACTTCGGCTGCCAGGACGGCACCCTCATTGTCGTTGAGAACTTCTCGGTAGGCTTTGTCTATGTGACTGTGACGACAATGATGTTGCTCACTTGCTTTCTAGCCCAAAGAAGAGAACACTGGATGTGAGGTATTAACAGGAATAACAGCTTCTGTTGACGCTCTCGACGTCGATGCCGAGTCCAATTATCTTGCGATAGGTGTAGGGTCGGAGGTCCAGGTGTCAAAGAAGATCACAGAGTGTTCGTCGGCGCAGATTCCTTTAATCTCCTCGCTTACCTTTGATTAGATACCTACGCGACCTTCGTCATTATGCCTTCTCCGCCGAAGCTCGTTTTAGAAAAAGAGGGCGACGACGAAAGGATACGCCCGCGATCGGTTCACTTGCTGCCTGGTGGCTCACAGCTCATTGTGTCCTATTTAAATCACGGTATCGTGTACGCCTGCACCTTCCATCGCATAATCAGAGTGAATGACGGGCCATCAGCTGTTGGGACGTGTTGACAAGAGAGAAGGTATGGTCAATAACCCCTACCCACCAACATCACCATATGTAAGATACATGAAAATGCCACACCGCAAAACGATGCTGATGTCTTTTAGTGGATTTTCTGCCCTTTCCCCAGATTTCCAACATCTATTGGTTTACAACCTGAAGGATGGCATGGATATCTACGAGTTTGGA